CAATTTTTCAAAGATAAACGGGTACACAACTGCCGAGGACCATATTCATTGGTTTGCCTTACCTTTTTTGTAACTTGTGGTGGAATCCCGTGCCTTTGAATGATGTTTGTTGATATCATTCCGGGACTGAAATGAATCACTTTTGTCGCCGATTACATGCACATTGGATGTACATATTGTGACTGTGTGAAGCAGAGGTCCTAACGATTTTGTGGAATTGGAGTTCGCATTGGATGAAGGAGGGGAAGGGGGCGCCCCATTGTTCTCTCTAATACTGGAGATAAGAATTAGAGTGCTCTTGACACGTAGCTGACTCCTGCAGAGTATACTTCTGATAAGTACCGGTGTAGTGTAGAAAGGACTCGCTAGGTTCTCTCACATTTCAGCATACAAGGAGATGGCTCTGAGCCAGGGGATATACACTATTGCCGAAGTAAGCAAACCAGCCCTTTTGGCGTTTCTGCTGGGGCCGTATGCTGAATGTTGGGGAGGGGATGGGGTCCCCGACGGTCGACGGACTCAACTCGGTCCTTAAAACCGCCTCAATTTGATGCTTACCTCAGGACTAAGCCTTAAAGAGAGGACGGACCTGCGAGAGAGCGTCCTCTCCCTAAGGCTTAGTCCTGGGATAGCTGCTGAACCAGCTGCACCACTTGCGTCATTACTCTCCTACCGTACCGACCGAGTTGAAGTAGTCCGTCGACCGTCGGGGACCCCATCCCCTCCCCAACATTCAGCATACGGTCCCAGCCAGAAACGCCAAAAGGGCTGGTTTGCTTACCTCCACTATTGCCCAGGCCCAAGGTAGGAGGAGCTCCAGAATGCCCAGGTGCAAAATTAGATAGCATGTGGGCACGATGTGCGAAATGTAGGACACACACTTGTCAAAATACTCCTGAAATGAGTCGTTCATGCATTATTTTAATTTAGTGCTGGAGCCCAAAGCAGTGTTCTCTAACACTGATCACTAAGGATGGAATATCCAGGGATGTTCCTTCCCCCCCCAAACTCCATTTTCACCATTTTGTCTCATCATAAGGAGCTCCCCATTCTGTTCCTGCTAACCTATCCTTCTTAGTCCACCTAGACATGGAGATCACCTCGTAGAGGTTATGTCTGCACCGAGCTCATGGCGGGAGCCGCGTTGACTAGGCGTCTGCTCGAAAAATTTGAAATGAGTACCAGGGCCCCAAGAGGTGGTGTTCGAGAGATTTTCGCTTTGAAGTTAAGCTCGGATTAGCGCTTTGAGGGCAGTTTATAAGTGGATTTGTACAGTCTACGTCCAAGTTACCGGACTTCAGAAAAAAATTCGACTCCGATGAATTATCAGTGGAAACGATTACTCAGTAAGAAACGATTATTCGGTAAGAAACAATACGCAGGATCAGCATCTAAATCTATCAGCGTCTAAATCTACACTCCAATGTTTTGCTCCGAGTTTCTTAGAGGTGGCATCCATCGTGGCGTGTGCCTTTAAGTCCATCTCGGGTCCTTTGGACAGCAATCCATAGATTTCTCAGCGGCTACTTCAGCCTCAGGACTACAGCACTTCAGAGGCACAATAGATCAATGGATTGGTATTATAAGAAAGTATAACTGCGGGTGATGTACTGGTCACCTTGTGAAGCTAAAAGGCTCGCTTTCTGAAAGGGCGCTCACGAAACCCTGATTCGGGTTGGCAGAGTGGACAGCGGATGGTTTGCATGTCGGCTTTTCTTTTCCATTACATTTTTGCTTTTGCAATCGTAATTTTTGCAACCTTTGAACGGGTTTTTGACTCACCTGACGCCATTCACTCGAACCCCTTTCTGGATGTAGTAAACGGCAAGATTTCGGGTTAATTGGTCCTGTGCCGCTTTGGAGATACCGTAATATGGAGACAACAATGTCTGTGATGGTAAGTTTAACAATCACAAAATAACCTCCAAAATTAACTGGTTTCAAAACTGATGCGGTGACTTTACTCACTGCAGCGCTTGGTTTGGCCGCAATACTGCTCACGTTCACAATTTCGCCCTTTGTTTCCGTCAAATGTGGAAAGGCCAACTGGCAGAGTCGTAGAATGCTGAATTGAGTAGTTGGACTGGAATCTGATGGAACCAGTCATACCGTAATACCATCTAGTGTTCAAATTGTGGGTGTAGTCAAAATTGGTCAAGTCGCAGTCGAGTTCTGGCTTTCCAAATTCAGCGCCTTTATTTCCACCAGCATTGTTTACCTAAAATTGAAAGGAAAGAGGTGATTCGATTGCTTAAAATGACATATTGTGCTAATAATACAGCTCAACTCTTCCTCATTCCAAACAGGGGTAAGGTGGTTAGGGGTAAAGGGGTGATAGGGGAACGCTGACGAGGGCTCTAGGGTAAGAACCCTCCTTATGTGAACTTGTAGTGGAAACTGTATCCTTCTGAGACGTTATTGAGGTGAACTCCACGCACGCCCATCTCTGGAACACAGGCAACAGCCACGGGGAACAAGCCCTCCCCTGAATTAGCTTGCGGTTATGATTCTTGGTGGGAAATGAAAGAAATCTGAGGTTAACGTTTCTTGGCTTCGCCGTTGCTTTGCTTGAGCGAATTCAACTACCCCCAACGATTATGATCGAAAATCGAATAAGTGGCGTATAATGAAATCGGTTGGCGCCGCACGCATTGCGCGCACAACACAGATCTGCGGCGAATTTCAATGGTGCGGCGAATTTTACCACGAATATCTGAATTCTCAGCTAAATTCTATCCGCTCCATCATCGACGGCTTTCAACCTCTTTTTCTTCGTCAACCATTATCCTCTTTTTCCCGGTCTCCGGACTGCTTCCGGACAATAAATCTCGTGGCAAACTCCGCCTACTTCGGTGCGTGCCCCGCCCACCAATAGCATTTGGCCCCTTCCTTTCGCCGACCTCTACCCCCCTTTTTCACCGGTCTCTGGGACCTCTTGGAACCAAATTACGACACTTTTGGCAAACTCCGCCCACTTAGGTGCGTGCTCTACCCAGTAATAGCAGTTGAGCTCTTTTCCCTCACCAACCTCTAACCCCGTTTTCCCCTATCTCTAGGCCAAATTTCTCGCGCAAACTCCGCCCACTTTGGTCAAGCCCCGCCCACCATTGATAGCTGGCCTCCACTCCTCCATACACCTCTATCCACCTTTTTCCGGCTCATTAAGGACTTCCCCGGCCCGAATTATGAGGCTTGTAGAAAATGCCGTACAGAGCGCGCGCCCCGCCCATTGTGGGCAGACCACGTCATATTTGCTGGAAACACCTTAGACATTGCTCCCTTACACCAATTTGTTTTCTGCTCTGTAGGCTTTCTCCCAACCGAGTTATGAAATTTTTCATAAAGCACTGCTTTTTTGGAGAACGCCCCGCCCACCGGGGTGGGTCTCCTAATTCGATGTGACTTACCAATGCACACCTTTACCCACTTTTTGGCCCAGTTTCAAGGTCGTTTTCTAAGAGAATTGAAATCTCGGTCGTCAGTACACTTCATGTCGACGCACGCCACGCCCACTGTGGGCGGGGCTCCGCTTAGCTGATGTGTGTTTTGTACTTCGTGAGACCTTGCCCACCCGTCCCACACTTGACCCGGTCCCTCCAGGCGGATCCCGAGGAGCTAGGGAATTTCGTGACAGACATACAGACAGAACGACAGAACGACAGACGACAGACGAAGCGCTTTATAGTAAGTGGGATGGTTGAAATACTCCAAGACCACTCGAATCCCGGATTTTAGCTTACCAAAGACATCCAATCGACCAAACGCGTTCACAGTTCCTTCGATGATTTCCTTCATCACCTCTTCGCTGCAGATGTCACCACGGACCAGGAAAACCTTCTTTTCATCGCCTCCATTGACCGCCAGCACCATCGATTTTGTTTCCTAAACATTTATTTGATACGAATCAATTCAAAAAACATTATCTAATTCAAAACAGGTTGTCGAGACGACAACGTTCAGAGTTTTCTCATCTCGTCCACAAATCGTGAGCATCGCTCCTTCTTTGGCGAAATAGTACAGCTGTAGCACGACCGATTCCATTGGACGAGCCTGTAGGTATTATTTTGTGGATGTAACGTCGGGTATAGATAATCCCGTTTGGGAGCAAGCTAATAGTAAGGTCAACTTAAAGATGTAAATGATCTTACCAGTGACGATGACCGCGCGACCATCGAATCGACCCATTTTGCTGCTAATAAAACATAGAAAGAAAATAAGCGAGATTTATCTCTTTTAACAGAGGTCGAGGAGGGCAGAAAAATGTGCGTAGAAGTTAAATCATAGGAAACTTTAAAAAATTAGTACGAACACGCCCCTTACTCATGCCATTATGGAGCACTGCGCTGAAAAAGAGCGAGTTCTGTTCCGAGCGTAAAGCGTCTTCTTCTTTTCTACTACTATATAACTGCAATATCCTTATTCAGCGCTATTATCTACCCATTTTATCCTGAGGCTTGCCTTCAGCGAATGTGGTAAAGTTGAATCGGATCGTCTTACGAACCTCCTCGAACCACTTCGGCCTGTATATGTAGCTCTATAGGAAGCAGGTACCAATTCATACCTTTTGGCCCTTAGCATTGGCAATTGCTCAGAAAGATGGTCAGAAAAACCCGCCAGTAACACTTTTCAATTCCTAAATTTCTAGTTGATGGCATCAGCATGCACGGAAAGATCAGCCGGACGAGATTTCACTGTTCATTCAAAAAATATATCAACATATCACATCGCGGCACCCATACGGCTGCGAGAAGGTGTGTCTGTGGAATCGATGGCTGCATATTGAGCTACCAGCTAATAATCGGCACTAGTTTGCTTATTATCAACCCCATTGGGTCGAGATGGGTCAAAAAAAAATTTTAAGCTGAACTTTTGCATGGGGGGGTTTATACGAAGTTATACGATCACGAATATGACCATCCTTATTTTGGCAGCGCTGGCGCCAAATTGGCGCCATTTGGCGCCAGCTGGCGCCACTACTGATTATCACCAAATTCGCTGTAAACTTCTGAATAGGGGTTATTTGGGGCCCTGATCACGAATATGACACAACATTCGTGTTGTTTAACGCATATTTTCTATTTTCTAGGCTTTCTCACCTATGGCGCCTAGGACTAAGCTTAGGGGAGGGGAGTGAAACTCCGGAGTGGGTGAACCACGCACCGTGTGGCAAAAGTTGGAGTGTGTTAGACCACAGGGGAGTGCCCTACTCACTTTGGAGCCCTCCACTATTCAAAGGCTTAGTCCTGATTGCGATCTAATTAGTGCGAGGGCGCAGACGAGCAGGAAATAGGCGCCGAATAGCGCTAACAACAAAAACGAATGTCATATTCGTAATCAGGACCCCAAATAACCCCTATACAGAAGTTTACAGCGAATTTAGTGGGAATCAGTCGTGGCGCCACCTGGCGCCAAATGGCGCCAAATTGGCGCCAGCGCCAAAAATGAATATCATATTCGTGATCAGGGCCCTCGATAACCCCCATAGCCGAAATTTCAGCGAAAATTATTTTTTGACCCATCTCACCCCTACTGGGGTTGTAATAGTGCAATAGTGCCAAAAATCTACTGGCGGTCGTAATTCATAATGTATGCTATACTTTTTTGATTGCCATAAACGACGGAATTTCACAGCAAAAGATTACACATGCTATCTTTTAGGGAAGTTTCTTAGGGAGGAATTGAAATTATTGGTTTTATTGGCTTCTCTTTTTCTTTTTACTGCCATAAATATATAAAAGAAAAGAGCGCCAAAGGTAAAGAAGAGCTCTATGAATGGAAAGGTAAATTGTCAAATCGAAACAATTGAGTTGAAAAAAGCTTTCGTTCGCTGCCACGCCAAGGAAGGCGAATAAATGTTGCCTTCCATAGCCACTAATTCGTCGTTTGATCGGAATCGCACACAATTATAGCGCTGATGTTAATCTTGCTTTTATCTTTATCTATAATTATATTATGATGATGAACACTACTGAAATTGTTGAGAAAAAAAAATTGAAAAAAAGGTGCGGGTTCGAGTCCCGTCTGGGACGAAAGTTTTGTTCACAGCATTCTTGTGAAACATACGCAAGGCGAACTGCGGCCAAAAACAGCAATCAACAAACAAAATCAAGTCAAAATTACTGAAATTGTTTTGTGACATCATGTTTGTTCATTTTTACAGTACAACAATCCACGGATTTGAGGCCAGGCAGCGGCGCTCACAAAACCGCGTTCGTCCATGCGACCTGGAAAATTGAAATAGGGGCACCATCGTGAATGTTCTACTATAAAAAGATCGAATCCCTTACATAGCCAGGAAGGCGGTGAGTTCTGAAGTTTAGGTTCCAGAGCCCATTATAGGAAGGTGAAAGTTTGAACGAAGCATGAACCAAGCACAGATCGGCAATCCATTCAGATAAATCAAAGGTACACGAACAGCCGTTCGCGGTTCTCGACAAAATGCCTGATCGCTGCCTCTCCACTTCAACATAGGTTTTGTGTAATGAGACTTGGATGGATTACAGAGCTTCGCTTGTTGCAATGATTGAAGGGCATGCATTATCCCAGGCCATGCTTGCCAGATGGAGGAAGGCGACCACGAGTGAGCCAAGTCTCTGTTAGTCCTCTCCACGCTTATTATTGGGGGCTAGAAATCGTAAGGCCCGTTGAATGTGTGGACGGAATTTTGCCTAAGAGATTGCGCGTGTAACCGATGTGCCATTTAACTATATGCCTCCCCCGCTTCTTCAGAGAGAGAGAGATCCAAATGGGGTTTCTCAACGATTTTCTTCCAGTGATTTGATGGTTTTCTTTTTGGGGTTGCAAATGAAACAGTGGGATACCCGACAGGAGGCCCGTCGCGCGGCAAGAAGGCAGAGTCAGCGGACGAGTCAGCGCGTACTGTAGGTGATTTCGCGTCAAGTTAAATAGAATGTACCATTGTACGTCCTACATCGCACATCACGCGCTGCGACTCGTCCGACTCTGCCTTCTTGCCGCGCGACGGGCCTCCTGTCGGGTGATTCCTTGCTTTTGGTAGGAATAATTTTTGGCTGTATCAGCCTGAAGTGTGTTTGAGAGCAAACGCTTACTAATTCTTGCTTCTGATGCGAAATGTTTTTCCCCAAGGCTTTCATCTTCAAAGGGCAATGAACCTTCCTGAAAGTAGAACTTCTCACTGAAACAAATGGTGGTAGTAGGGTTTTGGTTTTTTGTACTTTCCTCCCTTACGATCTTCGGTCAAAACTCCGTATAGGATCTGACCGGGACCAACCAAGCCTTCCATCCCTCCGGGGTCGGTTAATTGGTACCAGACTTGTCTGGGAGGAAAAACACTGACTTGTACATCGGCTGGCCCCCGCAAGTCATTGTATAGGCCACATCGCATTCAAACGCCACTGCGATTCTGATTGAAATAGTGTACATGGCGCATCCAATTGTCGAACAATGGTAAATGCTTCATTGTTAATCTTTGTAAAGGCGACGCAATAAGCTGTGGAACCCATCCGCCAAGCGTTACTGGAAAAATAATGTATTATCTTTGATATTTAATTCGATCCCATCAAGTTGGAATTGAGTAGGTAAATAGGGGCAGGTAGGGAAATCATTGAGAAATCCAGTATTCTCCTATGAAGATAATCTATCGAGACCAGCAGAATGAACGCATCAATTACAAGTTTAAGAGAACTAAAACACAAAAATCGAACGCAGAAGGCACCTGTAACCTCCACGGCTGCACTTCTCCACCCCCCCCCCCTTGAAACCTGTTATTTTGTTATCACACTAATAGCCATTACTTTTGTGGAACGGGTTCTTCATGCCGAAGTGTTCACTGAGCCTTTTTCAATTTTCAATCTGCTCGTTCAG